AGTTGAGTAGGCTTTAGACTTCGGGGACTGTAGATGAGAGGGCTTTAGACTAAGGGGCTGTAGGTGGAGGAGGGCTGTAGACTACGGGGACTGTAGACGAATAGGCTTTAGACATCGGGGACTGTAAATGAGAGGGCTGTTGACGGAGGGGGGCTGTAGACGAGGGGGCTGTAGACTTCGGGGACTGTAGATGAGTAGGCTTTAGACTTCGGGGACTGTAGATGAGAGGGCTGTAGACGAGGGGGCTGTAGACAAAGGGGCTGTAGACGGAGGGGGGCTGTAGACTTCGGGGACTGTAGTTGAGTAAGCTTTAGACTTCGGGGACAGTAGATGAGAGGGCTGTAGACGAAGGGGCTGTAGACGGAGAAGGGCTGTAGACCAAGGGGGCTGTAGACCGAGGGGGGCTGAAGACGAGGGGGCTGTAGACGAGGGGGCTGTAGACTTCGGGGACTGTAGACGAGTAGGCTTTAGACTTCGGGGACTGTAGATGATAGGGCAGTAGACGAGGGGGCTGTAGATGAGAGGGCTGTAGACGAGGGGGCTGTAGACGGAGGGGGGCTGTAGACGAGGGGGCTGTAGACCGAGGGGGGCTGAAGACGAGGGGGCTGTAGACTTCGGGGACTGTAGACGAGTAGGCTTTAGACTTCGGGGACTGTAGATGATAGGGCTGTCGACGAGGGGGCTGTAAACGAGGGGGCTGTAGACAATGGGGCTGTAGACGGAGGGGGGCTGTAGACTTCGGGGACTGTAGTTGAGTAGGCTTTAGACTTCGGGGACAGTAGATGAGAGGGCTGTAGACGAAGGGGCTGTAGACGGAGAAGGGCTGTAGACCGAGGGGGCTGTAGACGAGTGGGCCATAGACTTCGGGGACTAGACAAGAGGTCTGTAGACAAGAGGGCTGTAGACGAGGGGGCTGTAGACGAGTGGGCTTTATACTTCAAAGAATGTAGACGAGAGGGCTGTAGAAGAGGGGGCTGTAGACTTCGGGGACTGTAGTTGAGTAGGCTTTAGACTTCGGGGACTGTAGATGAGAGGGCTTTAGACTAAGGGGCTGTAGGTGGAGGAGGGCTGTAGACTACGGGGACTGTAGACGAATAGGCTTTAGACATCGGGGACTGTAGATGAGAGGGCTGTTTACGGAGGGGGGCTGTAGACGAGGGGGCTGTAGACTTCGGGGACTGTAGATGAGTAGGCTTTAGACTTCGGGGACTGTAGATGAGAGGGCTGTAGACGAGGGGGCTGTAGACAAAGGGGCTGTAGACGGAGGGGGGCTGTAGACTTCGGGGACTGTAGTTGAGTAAGCTTTAGACTTCGGGGACAGTAGATGAGAGGGCTGTAGACGAAGGGGCTGTAGACGGAGAAGGGCTGTAGACCAAGGGGGCTGTAGACCGAGGGGGGCTGAAGACGAGGGGGCTGTAGACGAGGGGGCTGAAGACTTCGGGGACTGTAGACGAGTAGGCTTTAGACTTCGGGGACTGTAGATGATAGGGCAGTAGACGAGGGGGCTGTAGATGAGAGGGCTGTAGACGAGGGGGCTGTAGACGGAGGGGGGCTCTAGACGAGGGGGCTGTAGACCGAGGGGGGCTGAAGACGAGGGGGCTGTAGACGAGGGGGCTGTAGACTTCGGGGACTGTAGACGAGTAGGCTTTAGACTTCGGGGACTGTAGATGATAGGGCTGTCGACAAGGGGGCTGTAAACGAGGGGGCTGTAGACAATGGGGCTGTAGACGGAGAGGGGCTGTAGACTTCGGGGACTGTAGTTGAGTAGGCTTTAGACTTCGGGGACAGTAGATGAGAGGGCTGTAGACGAAGGGGCTGTAGACGAAGGGGCTGTAGACGGAGAAGGGCTGTAGACCGAGGGGGCTGTAGACAAGTGGGCCATAGACTTCGGGGACTAGACATGAGGTCTGTAGACAAGAGGGCTGTAGACGGGGGGGCTGTAGACGAGTGGGCTTTATACTTCAAAGAATGTAGACGAGAGGGCTGTAGAAGAGGGGGCTGTAGACTTCGGGGACTGTAGTTGAGTAGGCTTTAGACTTCGGGGACTGTAGATGAGAGGGCTTTAGACTAAGGGGCTGTAGGTGGAGGAGGGCTGTAGACTACGGGGACTGTAGACGAATAGGCTTTAGACATTGGGGACTGTAGATGAGAGGGCTGTTGACGGAGGGGGGCTGTAGACGAGGGGGCTGTAGACTTCGGGGACTGTAGATGAGTAGGCTTTAGACTTCGGGGACTGTAGATGAGAGGGCTGTAGATGAGGGGGCTGTAGACAAAGGGGCTGTAGACGGAGGGGGGCTGTAGACTTCGGGGACTGTAGTTGAGTAAGCTTTAGACTTCGGGGACAGTAGATGAGAGGGCTGTAGACGAAGGGGCTGTAGACGGAGAAGGGCTGTAGACCAAGGGGGCTGTAGACCGAGGGGGGCTGAAGACGAGGGGGCTGTAGACGAGGGGGCTGTAGACTTCGGGGACTGTAGACGAGTAGGCTTTAGACTTCGGGGACTGTAGATGATAGGGCAGTAGACGAGGGGGCTGTAGATGAGAGGGCTGTAGACGAGGGGGCTGTAGACGGAGGGGGGCTGTAGACGAGGGGGCTGTAGACCGAGGGGGGCTGAAGACGAGGGGGCTGTAGACTTCGGGGACTGTAGACGAGTAGGCTTTAGACTTCGGGGACTGTAGATGATAGGGCTGTCGACGAGGGGGCTGTAAACGAGGGGGCTGTAGACAATGGGGCTGTAGACGGAGGGGGGCTGTAGACTTCGGGGACTGTAGTTGAGAGGGCTGTAGACGAAGGGGCTGTAGACGGAGAAGGGCTGTAGACCGAGGGGGCTGTAGACGAGTGGGCCATAGACTTCGGGGACTAGACAAGAGGTCTGTAGACAAGAGGGCTGTAGACGAGGGGGCTGTAGACGAGTGGGCTTAAGACGAGGAGACTTTAGATGAGTAGGCTATAGACGAGGGGACTTTAGATGAGTGGGCTATAGACGAGGGGAATCGAGACAAGGGCTCAGAGGGGAGTGTAAACGAGTGGGCTGTAGACGAGGGGTCTGTAGGCGAGTGGGCTGTAGACGAGGAGACTCTAGACAAGTGGGCTGTAGATAAGAGGGCTGTAAATGTCGGGGCTGTAGACGAGGGGGCTGTAAATGTCGGGGCTGTAGACGAGGGGGCTGTAGACGGAGGGGGGCTGTAGACTTCGGGGACTGTAGTTGAGTAGGCTTTAGACTTCGGGGACAGTAGATGAGAGGGCTGTAGACGAAGGGGCTGTAGACGGAGAAGGGCTGTAGACCGAGGGGGCTGTAAACGAGTGGGCCATAGACTTCAGGGACTAGACAAGAGGTCTGTAGACAAGAGGGCTGTAGACGAGGGGGCTGTAGACGAGTGGGCTTTATACTTCAAAGAATGTAGACGAGAGGGCTGTAGAAGAGGGGGCTGTAGACTTCGGGGACTGTAGTTGAGTAGGCTTTAGACTTCGGGGACTGTAGATGAGAGGGCTTTAGACTAAGGGGCTGTAGGTGGAGGAGGGCTGTAGACTACGGGGACTGTAGACGAATAGGCTTTAGACATCGGGGACTGTAGATGAGAGGGCTGTTGACGGAGGGGGGCTGTAGACGAGGGGGCTGTAGACTTCGGGGACTGTAGATGAGTAGGCTTTAGACTTCGGGGACTGTAGATGAGAGGGCTGTAGACGAGGGGGCTGTAGACAAAGGGGCTGTAGACGGAGGGGGGCTGTAGACTTCGGGGACTGTAGTTGAGTAAGCTTTAGACTTCGGGGACAGTAGATGAGAGGGCTGTAGACGAAGGGGCTGTAGACGGAGAAGGGCTGTAGACCAAGGGGGCTGTAGACCGAGGGGGGCTGAAGACGAGGGGGCTGTAGACGAGGAGACTCTAGACAAGTGGGCTGTAGATAAGAGGGCTGTAAATGTCGGGGCTGTAGACGAGGGGGCTGTAAATGTCGGGGCTGTAGACGAGGGGGCTGTAAATGTCGGGGCTGTAGACGAGGGGGCTGTAGACTAGGGGGCTGTAGACAAGAGGGCTGTAGACTAGGAGACTGTAGACAAGTGGGCTGTAGATGAGGGGCTGTATATTAGTGGGCTATAGATGAGGGGAGTGTAGACGAGTGGGCTGTAGACTAGGGGGCTGTAGACGAGAGGGCTGTAGACTAGGGGGCTGTAGATGAGGGCTGTAGATAAGGAGGCTGTACACCAGGGGGTTGTAGACAAGTGGGCTGTAGACTAGGAGACTGTAGACAAGTGGGCTGTAGATGAGGGGCTGTAGACATGGTGGCTGCAGAAATGGTGGCTGAAGACGAGGGGGCTGTGAAGAAGGTGGCTGTAGACGAGGGGGCTGTAGACAAGGGGACTGTAGATGAGTGGGCTGTAGACAAGGGGATTGTAGAGGAGGGGACTGTAGGCGAGTGGGCTGTTGACGAGGGGCTGTAGAATGGACTGTAGATAAGGGGCTCTGGAAGTCAGTGCAGTGAAAGTTCAATCTCGTCGATATCCAGGTTGCTGGGGGACGTAGTGCTGGAATGTGAGACATTTAGCCAGTAGAAATTACCTCTGGCTAATTATGGAATTAATGCACTTGAATTGATTTATTGAGTTGTAGATATTCATAAAAAAAAGTCTTTTCTTAATTTACTTGTAGTTTTACATGTTTTTTTTTTTCAGAAAAAGACATGTGCTTTTTTCTTTACACAAAACTGAGATTGCTAGGAGTCCAGTCTTATTTATCTTACAATATCTGGACAAAGGAGTGTCCAGTCTTATTCAAGGAAGTTTTGGACGAGGAATAAGTGAGAAGTGCTAAGGTATTCATGATGTCTTTGAACTAACACTGTAGTATCTAGCTGTATTTGAGTAATCACTGTAATACCAAGAAGTGGAGACAGAGGATTGTCAAGGGTCTAATTTATTAATGACTGATGTGTTAATATTTGAAATGTTGATTTTAGTGTGTAGTAAATTTATGTTCTGGAAAGGGTATGTAACAATAAAAACATGTATCATTAAGCACCATTTTATTTATAAAAAGGGCCATAGTTAAAGGCAGTGAATTATACAATAATGGAAGACTATGGCACATAACACTTCACTTACATCCATACATTTATCTTTGGCAATGTTACCTGTAAGGATGGGCAAGTGTTGATTTACATTTGAGTATTTTTTTCAAGCATTCTTTTAGTGTGTACAAACATTTGTACATTTAAAAAATCTTACATTCTCAATGCTATTATTAATAAACTATAACAATGTACAAGTTAAAGCCATATCAAATACTTGCCCACCCTCTATTAAAAACAACTTATTTTAAAATTCATTACTTTCATAAATAAATAACTAATTATTTAAAATGCCTCATTCATCTATTGACTTGAAATATATAACTTGAAATATAAATATTCATTAATATTATTTCGGTTATGAAAAAGTAACAAAATCGCATGATTTGTCTATTTCCCTACTGTATCTTGATGTTTAACCATCATATTAAAAATATTTTGTTATAGCCTCTGGATTACCAATATTTAATACAATATTAATACCTTCTCGTGGTATTCCTTGACATTGCATCAAGCAAAATGACTACATAGATGTATGTTCTTGTTCTTCCTGAGGAAGGCAACAATTTTTTGCCAAAACTAGTTGCTTGATTCAATTTTTAACATTAGAATATGAATGATTGTTAATCAATAAAATCCTATTCTACCAATTATAGATATAATAATTTATAATAATTTTCATAAGTAGAAGTTTTATAAAACTGTGAAGAGAAAAATCACAACTATTTCTTGGAATAAAAAGTGAGATTCACATAAGAGATTCATTCAGTGACGTCATACAAATTACCAAAGTACTTAACAAATTTGGCATAACCTTTAGGAACCATTAAGTTATGTATGAATAAAAGTAATATTTGATCTCTTAGGCTCCACATAAATTCTTTGATTTGATTATTACTTTTTCAGGATTTGCTGTATACATTTTCAAGCATGTGAAGACTATGATTACTTTTTTAAGACCAAAACTTTTTATAGAATGTTTAAGTTTTATGAACAACAAATAACAAACAATATAATAGTTTGACAGAACAAAAGGAGAAAATATATTCTGTTTTGCTGTTGAAAATAGAAACTTTTGCAAATCCTCAAAATATGCTATTTCTCCTAGATACTTTTCACTGTGTTTCCAAGACATTAAGAATGGCGTTTTTATTTATAAATTGTTTACTCTTTAAATATTGAGGATAATTTAAACTATCCAAGGCATTAGATAAACACATTTTTAACATTTAATGTTCAAACTTTGTATCCTTTTAGGTTTAAATGAATTTAACTCCTGTGTGGTCAATGCTTAAAACAAATATATTAGACAAAATAACTGCTGCCAGATTTAGTGAAATTCTACTGCACCAATAAAATATTAACATACAATAATACAACAGTTTTACAGCAGTTTTACAAGATGAATTAAAACAGGCAATCCAGTACTGTTTGATGTATATGTTAGAGAAGCACAAGTAAAATTACTGGCCTTGCTTAAGTATTTGAGCTAATCAGTACCACATAACTGTCAAAAGAAAATGTATGTGGGGTAAATTAGATAAGAAGTTGACAAAGGATAAAAGAGATAGATTATTTCATAGTTAATTTTAGTCCATTGTTAAAATCAAAGGTATTCATAAGTAAAATTTAAGAATGTGACATATTAAATCTACCAGTTACCAGTAGAAACAATTTAACATGGTTAAACACAAATATAACCATACCATTGCAAGACTAATAGTAAATTACAATCATACAGACAAAAATTACACACAAAGAATGTATCTGATCTTCACCTAAATATAAGTACATAAAACACTAGGAATGGCTAAGAGATGTAGGAAACAAATAATGTCATGAAAGATGCAAATTAAATGTAAGAACAGCACTTAACTTTTTCTTCTAAGTGTGCATTTGAAAATGACACTAGAAACGACAAAAACTGTATAAAATTTGTCAACATGTAGTCATTAAGTGCGAAACACAGTTTAAATGCAGTTAGTAAAAAATACTACCTATCCTATTTGTAAAATAAAGTTGTAACAATTAGTTAAAAGTCTGCAACAACTATCCCTCATTAAAAAGATTGTTGCACATATAAAATATAATACAATACTGGGAGATTCAGTTGTATACTCACATAAATATATAAATTCGTAAACAATAAAATACATAGACTTTGAAACTACAAATGAATATTGTCATAACTAAGATTGATAACTAGATAACTATAATTAAGTAACTGGGATTTAGAATTCGTCGTGTCGCGCCAGAGCTTCTCCGAAGTCTGTAGCTTGAGAGCCTACGAAGAGATCGTACTTGGCGAGGATCTCTTCCTTCGTTAACTTTGAGTCTCCGTCACCATCGCTCTCGTAAATCAGGTGTCTCGCTTCTGCTTCTGCATGGTCAAAGTCTGGGGGAATGATCCAGTTCTTCACCTATACACAAGAAAATGCGATTTGCCTGATAAGAGTGTTGATATTGTTAGATATTTTAGGCACAGTTTTACAGCTCTCAAATAGATTTTACCACTCAATTTGGTGATGGAAGGTGAAAAGAAATGCATGAAAATCAACTTCAAACTAAGAAAAAGTTTACACCATCAGATGATACAAAATTGCAAACATTAGTCTTATACAAATTGAATTAGATTTTAAACAGGTTTATCAGGATTAATTTGATGACAAGAGACACGAAGAAAGTTGTCCTGGGTTTGAATGTTTCACCTTACAACATGTTGGTATATTGTTGAGGCTCATTTCCAGTGTCTATAGAAGTGTTTCAGCACTCCTTTGGTAATGAAACATCACCTTTAGTTTGTGAGAGTATTTGTTAAAGTTAAGGCCAAACTATAACTAAATCTATTTTCCAATACCATAACTAAACTACATTGGAGAAAAATCAGTACTAAAACCTTTCATTGATCTTGGCTTTAATGTACTCCTCATTATGTACACATTTCCACAAGGTCAACTGCAGGCTTACCAGTTTCTATTGAGATAGTGATGAGTGTTGAGGACATTTTGCTTGCCAATTCAAAAAGTTTAGTTAGAAAGAAATATCAGTTTTTTACAGCCCTCATTTATGTCTACTTTGACAATATTGGTTTTTATATTGAGGAGACATCTTGATAGAACATCCTACTTCCTACTTATAATATTATAAATGAGAAAGTTTGGATGTATGGATGTATGGATGTATGTTTGTGACAAGTGAACGCGAAAAATACTGGTCGGATTGGGCTGAAATTTGGCATGATGATAGCTCACATTTCCGATTAACATATAGGCATATTCTTATTTCAAAAATCCTTTCGGGCTCCGCCCCAGTGGCTCTGGAGTTTCCCATGTTAACCTTATGAGAAATGGAATTATTGAATCTTAACAGCTGTTTCAACTAAACAAGTTGGTTCTGTTCTATGATGTTCAATAGCATTAAAGTTACAAGGATTACCAACAGGGTGCAGCACAATTATTACTTTTACATTTATGACAACAGCTAATTTGCAACCAAAAGGTGAGTGAGCGTAGCGAACGAACTCAAACCTGGAGGCGAGTAAGCGTAGCGAACGAGCTAACCTGAAGGCAAGTGAGCGCAGCGAACGAGCTCCAACCTAAAGGTGAGTGACCGTAGCAAACGAGCTCCAACCTAAACGTGAGTGAGTGTAGCGAACAAACTTCAACCAGGACGTGATTGAGTCATGCGAACGAGATAATCTTGAAAATTAAGAAGTTAAAAGGGGCAAAGCCCGCGGGTTACAGCTAGTAGGTAAATAAAACAGCACTAGTGTTAACAAAATTGCACTAACTTGCTCTATGGATGCACTACTAGTTATATAGATGGCATTGTTGATCCTTAGATATATATTCACTCTTCTAATTTCTAGTTATTAGTCTTAGTTTCTTGACGTCAACTGTACAAGTGTGCAATCTTGTTTCTTGTTGAAATAGATCTTTGAATCTTTTGAATCTTTGAATCTAACAGAGCTCATTGACGACTTTAATTTTTACTGGCAATATCGATCCCCAGCCTATCTTCAATTTAGCTCATTCAATTTACCTCATCTGCATCCATGAATCCATCACCATCCTTGTCCCTGTATTGGCTGAACTGTTCCTTTTCATTCTGAACCCATTCAGGCTCATCTTCCCCCTCTGAACCTCTGTACATATCTCCTATAACAGAGAAAAACCATTGGTATCATAGGACTCAAGTAGAGAATACACTATATTAGGCATGCCTTTTGTAACTTAAACGTAGCAATTTTGTTAAAACACAGTTTTCATAGTTTTTATATAATACTAAAAGAGAAATGAATGATGCACAAACCCTGATGAGAACAGTGTGGGATTAAAACCCACTAAATCCCTAATGGACCAAGGGAACTAGGTTGAAACCCCTATTGGATGACTTTATCCCTGAACTCCAGGAACGCCACAGAAGGTAACTTTTGGTTCACAATGTATCTCTTGCCTTGGGAGCTATCAGTTTAGGCTTAAGGTGTGAAACTTGTGCGATACACATCCAAATGAGAGAATCAACAGATCTTGTATACACACATGTAAATTTATATTAGGATTTTATTTAATGACCCACATTCTTTTTTATAAACAAGTTAAACAAGTAATTTTTATGAAAGAAAAAGAAGCTTAACTAAATAGTAATTTGCAGGCAAGATATTGTGTTGTTTTGTTATGTGGATAACAGCAAGGCAGTAAAAACTTTCCTTGTTTCACTCCAGGGGTTCATATTAATGGGAGATAAAGTATCTGGTGGTCTGCAGAGGGTAACTTTTCAGATACAAACAATTCTAAGAAGTCATCTGACAACTTGAGTATAATTCAGCTTTTTATATTATTTTAAATAATAATTACTGTATACTCTTCTGGTTGATTTTCAAATGTCTCAAGAGTAAATCTTTGCCCCATCGAAGGTGTTTATTTGGCTGCTAGTTTAGATTTGTTACAAAGGCAATTATATAGAGTGAAAGGGTTTAAAGAAATGTTAATAACTATTTATGTCAGGATGAAGGCGGTATTACTAACCAGTAAACTTGAATTGCTTTGATTTTAATCCTGAGGAACTATTGTAATAGTCATAATATGTTTTATATTTTTACGTTGTGTGTGTTATGAATAACTAACTACTCATTACCAGGAGTAAATGGGAATTTGTCCGATAACCAGTTCATCAGCAGTAGTAATAATTACATGGATACGTACCTATTTTCATATACATATTTAACAATGTATAACATTGAATTGTTATTTAAATTGCTGCCATCTAAAAATCTACAACTGTATCCATAAAATCTATTATTATACTTAAAAAAAACAACAGCTGTTTTCTGAACTTTATCTATACTAGTGTCCCTGTTGCTCGAAATCGAGCAATTGCTGAGTATTACAGGCGTTATTTTAAAACGAATAACAGTCATATTTTTTATGACTATAAAAGATTCGACTCAAAGATTATGGAATACTCAAGATGTACATAACAGATCGATATAATCAACATTTCTTGTAAATATATTATCATTTTTCAAAAGCTGATTTTGTTTTTTAGTGTTTATAACACACATTATTTCTATTTCTTCCCCTTGGTGGTGCTCTATGACTTTCCTATGTTTCCATAGTTTGCAAATCGTCTCTTTCAATGATTACTAAGAAATGCAGCACATTGTTAATTCAGTTATCTTTTTAGTATATAAAATATCCAGACTCTCTCGCTTTTTCCATTGTAATATTCATACGCCAATCCAAATTCAAATATTAAATATTTTATTTCAACCAAGTCAGTAAATGTCTGTAGCAAACTGTTAAATTAGCTTACTTATTGACTGTTTACAATTAACATATGTTCTTCTTCTCACTTTTAATTTCTGACAACAGCTGGAGTTTCTTAACAATATTTGTTTCCCATGTTAATCTTATGGAGAAATACGAAACTTTAAAGGGCCCCAGGGCCTCACCCTCTAATTATTTCCCTAAAAAGAAAGTTTCCTGCACAACTTCACGTTACGCTCTTTCCAATGACACCAAGAACGTGTAAATCGGTTCAGTAGTTTCGGAGGAGTAATTGTCACAAAAAACCTGCTTGCGTATTAAATAAGTATAGATTACAATATGAGATCCATGTCATCGTCTGCTCAAGCCATTACATTCTGTTTGCCGAGCCAAACCATCTTATTGCGCTATAGTGTACAGTTCCTGTTATCTAGACCATTTCCAATTGTTGAGTTAATGATGTAGCATAGGACACAAAGGCCCAAGCACGAGACGGCCGAGGTTCAACGCGTTCACACAAACATTTTGATGGTAGAAAAACATCCAAAAGGCTGACGTGACATTCCCTATCCCCGGACAAGGCAGGTAACACAGCAAAATAGGTGGCGCAGGAGGAACCCTCTGAATCGTCTTCCCAGGGGGAATAGTATAACGGGTCCCCAGCCGATTCCTAAACCAATGGAACAGGTTTTAATGGAATTCAAATTTGATAAAATTCTGGTCCCTGTGAAAAGGACAGCTTGTTGAGACATGAAAAAATTTTATGTTAGAAAATGTTTCATTTTATTTTACTTTGAAGAAATACCAACCGATATATGACAATTGTAAAGAAGACTGATTAAGAAGATTTTATTTTCGTTATATTAGCTTGTGGAAGGAAACAAATATTTCACTTTATTTTTCCTAGAAGAGGATTACACTTAAGTTAAAAAAATTATGAAATTCCTAAAAAACATTCCTCGGTAGGAATAATTTAGTTTGTGTCCTGGAATCTGGAAAAAGAAAAAAACTACAAAAAAAAGCACAAAGAACTAGTGCATAATCTTCTATATCCTCTCCGACGCAGCTCCTGTCCTCACGGCATCCATGGCTTACTGGACATCTTAGAAAGTATACGCCCTCTTTTTTTCCCCTTTAGATATAATATTACCGTATAAACCACTATTACTATTATACATTGGCTTAATAACTTTATTTTTTCTTGAGATATAATATTACCGACACCGTACCGAATTGTTGTTGGGGTATTAAGCTTACTTGAATGAGAAAGAGTTCATCCTCGTTCAATACAGTACATGCAAAAACTTTCTACTTTACACAATAATTTGAACAAACAAATTATGTAAACTCACCAATGTACTCTTGTAAGGACACTTTCCCGTCCTTGTCTTTGTCAATGTCCTCCATGGTTTCCAGGACAACCACATCCCTCATGTGACCCGTCTCCTCCGGGTGGAGGAATGCCGCAAACTCTTCCTTGCTCATCAGATCATCTCCGTTGAGGTCAGCGACAGCCCACCGGCGACGATCCCGCTTCTGCATTGCAGCGTATGAGAAACCTTCCTCGTCTTTCTCTAGGTCTGCTGTGTCCATGTCTGGTGAGAAAACAAAGTTGCAGTCAACAATCGTTACATGCCCACAACTCCTAAACTTGTTAATATGAACAATAAAGTGTACAAAAAGTAGTTTTTCAATGATAGAGTACTTTGTTTAGTAGAATGGAATCATTTCCAGTTATTTTTGATGGCATTGTCAGTCTTATCTACGAATAATGGTTCGCTGTAGCGTCGCCAGTAGCGACCCGCGGTAATGACTGTTCACTGTTGACTTTCTGCAACAATGAGATAACGATTAATTTTAGTTCAGTTACTCAAAAAACAAATTTTAAGCTGTTCGAGAAGTTTGGTTTGGTTAGGTTAGAACTTTAAATTTGCGTTAGTTATTCTACTATTTGTGTTTTCTTCAAATTTATATAGTGTGTGATCAAACACCTTTTCTGAATATTGAGAATAAGGGAGACCAAGGACAGGATAAGGTTCTAATAAGTTATAGAAGTGTAATTGGTCGTGGGCACGTAACGGATACTATACTTTTACGGATACTATATACAGGTAAATATACTTTTACCTTATGTATAATCAACTGATAAATTTTTGTTTCATTTTTTAAAGGCAAAACTTTTAACAATATAAATTCTGTGGCCAAGGCTCAAAAGGCTCTGGCCTGGATGAAAAACCCAGGTATGAGGACGTCCAAATTACTAATCGACCCCACTGATAAAGGTTGGAAAGGCTTGCTGAGCCTTAAGAAAGGGGACATTAGTCTACTAGTAGGAGTGTTAACAGGGCACGGTCCTATCAGGAAACATCTCAGGACCATAGGGAGGTCACAGATAGACCTCTGCAGGGTCTGTGAGAACGAGGTAGAAACCTCAGAACACTTATGGCTGGACTGTCCAGCGTTGGCCCATAGAAGGCTTACATCTCTGGGGAGGTTATTCCTGGAACCAACAGAGATAAGGAAGCTGGGTGTCTTTCAGCTCCTGGGCTACTTGAGAAGCCTAGGGCTGTCAGAATGAATTAAAGGGTGCTACAAAAGGTCTCCAGGCCGTAGTAGCTAGGGGTATGCCATTACTAGTCCAGGCAAATTAGATCAAATATAGGGTGTGCTCCCCAAAAAATGGTCTAAAGCTGGAAAGTGTTTAATACCTTTTGGGGGTCCCAAATAAGACTCCTGTGAGTTTGCGTCGGATTCTGACGTCTGCTTAAGTTTTGGGAGTCGAAAAACTATGAAAATTTTGCACTTCTTTCAGTTTTTAGCTTATAACTCCTAAATAACGAATCCTAAGGAAAATGTTGTTCAAAGGTGTCTTTTATTTCATTAAATTCCGCGTCGATTGATGTTAAATACGTCAAAATCAGCCAAGCCGTTTAGCCGCTGTAGCTTTTCAAAGTTGGGATATTTTCATCAACATGGCCAAAAGGTTGATTATTTGACCAGTTTTCGGCTTAAAACTCCTAAACGAAGCATGCTATAAAAAAATGCACCTGTAGTTAGTTTGGAAAACACAAAATTCTGCGTATAATGTTTTTTTTATTAATCAATAACGTCAATTGATTGTTACCTACTTTGTATGGACGCCATTTCATTGAAAAAAGTATTAAAGTTAAAGTTGGGAAATTTTAATAAAATTGGTAACAACATAGATCCTGTCCTTAAATGGATTATGAATTATTAGATAGTTGTTTATTCCATGATGGTCATCTAGAGGTTTATCTTATAAGGTGTGATGAGAGCAAGACCCCCTATGTAATTTTAAGTCTAATATTGTTGTCTGAGGTTACGAAAATTCTAGGATTCATCCCAACCACCCATTATATACGATCTATCCCTGTATTCATTTTTCAGTTATTGGCTTACATCTTCTAACGCATGCTATAGAAAAAATGTTCCTGTATTTAGTTTGAAGAGCATAAACGTCTGCGTAGAATGTTTTCCAATTCATTAAGATCGGCTTCACCATTTAACCGCTATTGATTGTTAACACTAGATCAGATGCTTGTCAAGTTTAAAATCTTGCCATTGAAATCTGGCAAACAACCAGCCTAATTACCAAAAACATAGGGGATATGGCAGTGAATCTATCCACATAGTGTGACGTCATGGATCCTGCAGCATGGCCTATGAACAAGTAAGTGCTCATGAGAGCAACATCTTACTGTGGAGAGCTTTTTCCGAGATAGGGGAATCAATGATGGGGATCTAGCCCGATGGTTCGCTGGCAGGCCCATCGCAGTAAATGCTACCCATCAAGTTAAGGTATATTGTGGGATCACCTCTTCAACATATTATCAGCAAGTTGACAATATAAACTCCACGGATACGGTGGGATCAAAAAGAAATTCATCAAATGGTTCCAGTGTCACGACCTATTTACTGAAAATAGTTCGCTCATGTCAATCAGCTCAGCAGTTATCCCATATGATTATGATCAACGCGAGATATGTATAAAGCATAATGGAAAGGCACAGCTTGCAAGAAAATCGTAAATAGGCAAGCTTAAATGACCATAAACTGTGCAGAATAAAAGGAAGTGGTGACATTAAACGCGAGCTGTGATGGTAACAGCAAATGTTAAAGAAGAATCTGCCCCCTCAGCCAACACGTGATATTCCACATTAAATCCAAGCCTCAATTTGAATCATACTTTGGATTAAAAATAGGTTCATACCCACTAGCGCAGTTTGATGAAGAAAGCGTGATATAGAAGAGTCGAAAATCTAACTATTCATGTAGCCTAAAACTACTTATGCTGTTTACTCCAATCAATGTGGATCTCACTGTGTTCTGACGGGTTACAACGCTTGGCGGAGTTGCAGAGGCAGGTTGGCCCTATACATGGTTGGAAGCAGAAAATATCCAAATCAAGTGAGGGTTGGTCTCTTCTAGAGGACACTTTCAACTAATTTTGACTTTGATTCTAACAAAAGGGGCTGCTCATCCACCAATCCTTTAGAGCTCATTTAAAATTGTACTTAATTCAGAGAGATAGGTATGGAAAATTAACGTCAATGGGTTAACTCCCATCACTACAGCTAATCCACCGGTTCGACAAGTACTTCTCAACTCCGTCTACCTATCTCGACCATCGTGTACATGTTAAAAAGGTTTATATTTTCTCGCTCCATATGAAATGCAGGGATATAATGCACTACCGTCTGAAAGACTTGCCAGGGGCACTATTATCTCAATTCGATATCTGACGAAAAAGATACCAAATGTCACCATTTGTGGCAAGACCAATAAGAGCAAAGAATGAATCCTTATTCTTAAGATTCCAATGATGAGAAGTAGAAAAGTTATATGGTAAAATCTACGAAAAATCCCAATAATTTTTTTTTAATATGATAAATACATAGTAAAACTATATACATCCGTCCTATTATCATCTTTCGTTTATTAAGTTAAAAATTAACATTTTTGCTATATTTAATAAAATCTTTCTGGTTGTAATTATATTAGAATCGCTTAACATCATTCGGGAGTGTCCAGAGATAGGATCGTATAAATGGGAGCTTAGGACAAATCCTAGAATTTTTGTAACCCCCTCAACAATATTAGATTTAAAATTGCATATGGGGTCTTGCTACCCTTCCCTTCACACATTCTTGGATAAACCTCTGGATGATAACCATGAATAAACCACTATCTAGTAATTCATAATCATAATTCTACGCCGAATTTTGTGTTTTCCAAACTAACTACAGGTGCATTTTTGTATAGCATGCGTCGTTTAGGAGTTTTAAGCCGAAAACTGGTCAAATAATCAACCTTTTGGCCATGTTGATGAAAATATCCTAACTTTGAAAAGCTACAGCGGCTAAACGGCTCGGCCGATTTTGACGTATTTAACATCAATCGACGCGGATTTTAATGCACTAAAAGACACTTTTGAACAACATTTTCCTTAAGATTCGTTATTAAGGAGTTATAAGCGAAAAACTGAAAAAAGTGCAAAATTTTCATAGTTTTTCGACTCCCAAAACTTAAACAGACGTCAGAATCCGTCGCAAACTCACAGGAGTCTTATTTGGGACCCCCAAAAGGTATTAAAACACTTTCCAGCTTTAGACGATTTTTTGGGGAGCATATGTCTAATTTGCCTGGGCTATACCCCAGCCCCCACAAAAAAAAAAAAAAAAAAAAAAAAAATTTGGTTCAAAATTGGAAGATATATTAGCTAAATAACACTCCAGCAGTTGATAGATAAACGTGATGTTGGCAAAGGACAGAAGGGGTCTAGATAGGCAGAGTAGATAGTATTTGTGTTTCTATACCATCCATGAAGCCGTACAGCATCTTCTTATACTGGTCCCAGGATATGGTCTCTTTCTCCTCAGGATTGTGTGTCTTCCATTGTCTGTCTACATCGTCTAAGATGTAGCGTCTCTGGGTGTATCGTATCCAATCTTTGAGCTCTTCTTGGCTAACAAAGCCATCCTTATCTCCATCAATCTTATCCACAATCAACCTACAGTAATACAACATTAGTTGAAAGGTGACAAGATTTCAAAATTGCATAGCGGACTTATTATTATTTACACTATTTTTAGGGGGTTTTGACTACCGTACATTTAATCTACCAAAATAAATCATCTTAATAATCTTGTGAAGTAAGTTAGTACTTCACATAATTCATACATAAAATACAATCAATACATAAAAGGCCACTAGTTCCTTTCTGTCACGCTGAACGCTCACCGTTGAGTGCTGGCATCACCTATATTCCATTCAATTTCTGCATATCAGCACACCGGGAAGAAGGGTTATTTTTATGTCCGAGTTTAGCTAGGAATGGGTGCTTTAGTGTGGTGTAGGTTGGTAGTATATTTCCCTGTAAATTCCCTTCTGGCAAGCTTAGAAATCAACTTGTTGTTCCGTCTTTCACCCTCCAATTGGCAATACAATGTGACCGGCTAGTTCCAGGCAATGCTATCTGTGAGTATTCTAGCAAACTAAGTCGACTCTCGTTTTCACACAGCACATCACCGCACGTCATTTACTATTTGTCAGACCAAAATATTTGAAAGCTAAACAGGTTTGCTTGACGCTACGCCGCACTGGGGCTACACCTGCCATTTGGCGGGCAGCAGCGAACGTGTTAATGACATTGAGATGTACCCTCTGGCCAGAATCCCCAAGGAAGTAAGTGAAGAAGATGAAATGCAAGCAGCAGTTGTGATAATTTGCAGTTTGTCATAAACCTATCGAAAAAGCAACACAGATCCTGCACAACACTTACCCCAATCTCCGTTTACTTTCTTCAGCAGAAAGCTGATCAAAGGTTTTTGCATCTTCACCAAGGAACGCCTCGTGATCGTACTCCACATTGTGTTGCTCATGTTCATAATGTTTCTTATCACTTAGATCCTGAAAGAACAATTTAGCTGTGCAAACATTTTCTTGGGAAAACAATAAAAATGAAAAAGATAATGAATGTATCCGTTGCTACTTAAATCTTTGTCAAAAGTTTAATCTAGATTATGTTAGTATGATAAAGATTCTAAGAAGACTATATACACATAGGCTACACAATTAGAATATTTCATAGTGACTGACCCCTTTATCAATCATAAAAAAGAACCATCGCAAACATGACATTTCTTTGAAATAGGTCTATATTGATAAGTTAATAAGATACATGAGTTTATAAGATATGTTGTATTGCCTGACTTGGATATTCCAAGTTAATGAGTTGTAATTTGTTCTGACAAAGAATGATTTTGTTTCAAAACTACCTTCTCAACGGTCCTTTCCTTCTTTTCAACCTCTTCAGGTTTAGGAACGGCAGCAGCCACCGTGAATATGAACATAAGAAAAACAAGCTTCTTTCTTGTTGTCATCATCTGCAACAACAAAAACAAAAGGCTTGAAACTAAGAATTTCAATCATTAAAATGTAGGTGTCCTGGCATTTAGAGTAAACAACCCAATCACCCACCCCCTCACTAGCTCCGGTAGCCCTGAATTAAAATCATTATACTAAGACTTTCATACAATATAGGCTACTTAGTTTTGCATCAAGTACTGGCTGCTAGAATGGCTATAACTGCCAAATACGATGTGAATCGATATTGGACAGTTTACATTTTAGTTGTCGTTGGGAAGTTGTCCAGGTCACAGTTTGCTCCTGTTGTCTGCTGACTTTGCTGTTCAACATATTAAGGTAAAAAGATTTTAAGGTTTTGTAGAACAGCATATGATACTTTCGTATATTTTATTTTGATGATTTTTACAATGTACATCGTAAGAGTTTAATTCAGAAATTCAATAAAACACATGACCAAAACATCTGCTGGGATTATTTTGGGTTGTTACACGTGCCTGCCGCCACAATTGCAGCAGACGAAACCGGCATAATGATGTTGATCAAATTAGCCTGTCTCAACTACGATGAATTAATAGGAATCAATAAACTTCATCAACAGAGTATGAAAACAACATGGTTCAAAGATAAGAACAAAAGATAGGAGTTGTGTTAGAAGTCAATGAATAATGAATGATGAATAAGCAGGTAACATTGTGCCATCAGTGTTCATTTTTCCTCCTGCTAGGATGCACGATTCTCTAATGGTCGGATCTGTAGCTGGTAGTTTGGGTCTTACGAACTCTCCTACATTTGGATGGCTAACTAGAGGATTATTTTTTTTTAATTTTTGGAACATTTTTTAGTTAAATATACACAATGTTCAAAAGAACTACCTATCCTCCTAATCATGGACAATCAGCCACTGTCTACAACCACTAGACATTTCCGTCTTGGGATGGGACTATTTAGCGTCAATTATCAATTGTGCAAAATAACTAGCTTATTAGAAACCAAAGAGAGAAAATTTTTATTTTGATTCCTAGCAGGACTCGTTTCACTTGACATTGCTTTCACCCACAAGAATATTACAAAAGGTTTAGTCCATCGGGAGTCCATCGGTTTTGAGCCGGGACTAAGAAGAACCCCTTGTTAATTGGGCTAACTTATTAGTAGCAAAATCAGGATTCCCCATATCCAAAGATCAACTTTTGTCCTCAGTATGTAAAATGGTTAAAGATCTAAACAGGGAGAACCCATTTCATGACTGTATACTAGGGGACAAATGGTTCTCTCTGTTCCTAAAAAACACTATGAACCAACCCAACGAGTAAGCCACCCCTAACAACATCAGAGCCAACGTAACTGAGGGACAGATCAAAGGGTGGTGCAATGAAGTGAGAAACTACATGGCTGACAATGAATTGTTGGATTTGTTTAAGAGTCTTTAACACAGATGAGACAGCATTCTTCTTATGTCCCAAGGGCAAGCAGGTGCTGGCCAGAAGGGGAGAAAGGCAGGTACATCACATTACTGGAAAAGAAAAAAAAAATGTCTAACTGTATGAATGACCTGCAACGCTGCCGGGGATGTTGCTCCATCAATGGTGGTATCCATACGAAAGGTGCCCATTATTAGTAGTTGCCCAGATGGATGAGGAATTGGGAAATTAGAGTCGGGCTGGATGATGTAGGAGACGGTTTATGAATTTATTACAAACATATTCTGCCCATGGCTTGTCTCTCAAATATAGAACTTCCTGTGGTCTTGTTAATTGACAGCCACTCCTCCCATCTGAAGTACCATCTCTCTCAATTTTGCCAGAAAAACCTAATAGAATTAGTTTTTCTATATCCAAATTCTACACTCGTTTTGCAACCCATGGATGTTGCCGTGTTCCACCCCTTAAAAGTAATCTGAAAGAAAAAAGTTCATGATTGGAGAATAGCTGATGATGCCAGGAAAATATGGCGGAATGAATTTTTTCCTGTACTTAAACTGTTAATGATGAAATAGAGAAAAACGCAAGAATTAGTGGATTTAGATCAACAGGATTGGCCAACTTGAACTCCTCAGAGATCAAGTCAGAGAAGTTGATTAGAAGCCAAAAGGAAACTGCACCAAAAGAAAAGCAGAGTACTAAAATTGAAAAGCTGCAGTCTTTCTTAAATTTTCTTGAATCCAGGATAGAGCTGGCAAAGGTCAGAAGATTCTGCAATTCACCTGAAAATCTTAATGGAGAGGACTTATCCCTCTTTTGGCTAAAGATGAATGCAGACTCCGAACTCAAGAAGCTAAAAGGAGCGGTCAAGATAGCAATGTTAAGTGATGCAGATGAGCAGATGGCAGGATTGTGGTGTATGAAGATGTCAATGTTAGTGAGATTGAGAGGACAGTTGCGAAAGAGCTAATACTTTATGTAGACGATGTTTTCAGTAGTATCGACGTCATCGACGCTCCATTAGGTGATCTAATCAGCAAACTGGACTCATTAGGTTCAAAATAGATTGAATTTGATTTTTAAGAGATGATGTTCGACGTCGACTTGACAAGGGAAGCATTGATACAAATGGTTGTATATGAAAATACTCCAGTTGAATCTACACCAAGACCTTCTCCAACCCAAAACACCTTAAAAAGTGACAACATTTCTTCTCCATTTATGAGGATTTTGTTTCGGTCAGGAAAATGTAAATCAGCAAACAAAATCGAAAGCTGAAAGAGAGAATCCTGGCGGTGATTATGTCAAATCAAGGTAAAGAGGACCTTCAAAAGAAAGAAGAATTAAAGAGACAGAAGGAGGTATACAAAGAAGTGAAGAGGCTACAATGGGAGGCAAAAAAGTTATCAAAAAGAAAATGAAGGTAAATATCAATGTTGGTTTTGTTTCAAATAATTTCAACATTTTATTATTTATAGAAACTCAAGAAGTACAGATCAAAAGTAAACCTCAGATCAAAAATTAATACATTTGCTTTGAGGGTGATGTTGCATTAGTCGCAGAATCAAGAGAAGACCTTGTAAAACTCAATGAAATTATTATAAAGGAAGCAAGCAAGATTGGACTTCACCCTTCCCGGACTGGTGACGGATATATCTGCCTAAGTCTTAAGCGATAAAGGACGGGTGGCGAATATATCCGCTTATGGTTTTTGAAGTTCCGGACGGGAAGCGGATATATCCGCCTTCGCTTCAGACAGACTGGCAGGTGCTTGAGCAGTAACCAGATCTATCGCGGTACCAAGGCGCCACTTTCCTGCTCTCTCCCGCGTCTTTCCCTCACCCGCGCACCACCCACCTCTCCTACGCTCCCCTCTCGACTTTTAGCGCTCAACACTACGTTGTCTTTATTTATTGTTTATATATTGTTCTTTATTTGTTGCCTAACGTTGTCATGGTCATATCAGATCCGCTGCTTATCCACTCATCTGTGGACGGGTAGCGGATATATCCGCATAGTTAAAAACTAGTAAAAATTTATTTTGACAGTATGAAGTGTTCCATTGTGTTTATTCTATGTATACTTGTAAAACAAAACACAAATAAAGAAAATTAGTTTTTATTTTTTCCTATAATTTTTTTCCGTTCTATGTCACAATTTTGCCCGTCCGGGAAGGGTTTAAGTAAGTGAAGAAAAGTCCAAATACCTGAAAGTTGGAAAAATCCAAATTGAAAAAGACAAACCAATGAGGGTCAACAACTTCACTTTTGAAACAATATCCGATTTTGAATACCTAGGAGTCTCAGTTAATCGTAAAAACAAGAGGTGATAAGAACTAGAAAAGAGATTGATTGCTGCTACTTAATGTTTCTGGAGTTTATCAAAAATCTTGAATTCAACAATCTTCTCTAAAAACACAAAATTAAGATTATACAGAACAATAGTTCAACTACTCCTTTTATATTACTCTGAAACATGGACATTAACAAAGAAAATGGAGAATAAACTTAGTTTTTGAAAATAAAATATTAAGGAAGATTTTTAGACCGTTAAATGAAGATTGTATGTTGAGAATAACAAAAAACCGTGAGCTCCGAGAATTGTATAAAGATCCTGACATTGTGGAAACAGTAAAATGTAGGAGATTAACACTTTAACCAAAACACCGGCCTGTGAGACCGGAGGGAAAATTGATTTTTCTGTACTAGTGGCAAAACTACTGGACGTGTGTACCCCTACCCCTCAGTAATTTGCCCCTCCTCGTCTTCTCCCTACCCCACCCATCAGCGGTCATTGAGTGAATGTCACAATTTTGTAGGGATGGACGAGATTGAATTTTCTAGTTCGAGACGAGACGAGACGAGATTTTTTATTTCTCATAAAATTTCGAGACGAGATCGAGACGGGATTTCCCTTCTCATACACAACGGGAAATGCACGTTTAAAATTTTTACCTGATTTTGTAACATTGTTAGATGACTGTTTAAATACAAAAATAATGATAATAGTCAAGAATATTTACAATCTTTTATTAAAAAACATCAGCATAACATTTTTTTATTAATCACGCCTAACTTATTAAAAATGCCTACGATTAGGAAACATAGTGATATCAGTTAGGATATAGTTCAACTTATCCTAAAATAAAATAAATCATAAAATAAAAGCAATATTAATTTTTATAAAATAGTTACTTGTTTTGAATTTTTAAAATAGTAATAAAACATTGCTCACACTGCTTACACTTAACAAAACTTCTCAAATGTTATTAAAGTAATATTATTAAAATAATTAAAGTAATATTTACATTTATAGAATTAATTAAATAAGAACGCCTTCGCAAAGGAAACGCAACTACAACACGCTCCTGTATTGCGGGTATTGCATTGGACTTTCTGCAGGTGTTTTTAATTTTTTTTTTTTTTTTTTTTTATTCTCGTCTCGATAAAAATCTCGGCCAAAAAGAAATCTCGTCTCGTGTAACGAGATTTAAAATTTCCCGAAAATTTCCCGAAATTTCGAGACTTGACCATCCCTACAATTTTGAAAACGTGCCGGATCTTTTGAGTAACGTATATCGCGCTGCCGGTCTCAAGTAC